CTCTCCTTCCCTCATTATGGGGTCTGTGTATGTTGCCCAGGCTGGCTTCCAACTCCAGGCAGGGCTCAAGGGATTGCCCAAGTTTGAAAGAAGCAGTCCCTCTTACAGGGTGAGGGTTCCACAGTGAGTTGATTTATCTTGTTCACTGTATGAAGGGCTCATGAGTTTTCCTGTGAGAGCCAGGTAGTAGACCTTTCGGGCTTTGCCTGTCTTGTGGCTTCCATAGCAAGTGCTAAGAGACTACTGTTAGGGAAAACAGATACTCAGGGCTGTGTTCCTGGAAACCTTCCCGGGGTGGCAGCTGGCTGTGCAGGCCAGTGGCCCATGGTTGCTGAGCCCGGGACCAGTAGGGACATCTGGATTGTCTCCAGTTTGGGGCTGTAAACACAAAGCAGACCTCTGTGTGGCCATCTCTCTTAACTGGTTTTCTGGGTTTATTACCTATCCCTCACTTTTCTCTCATAGTTTATATTCTTCTTCTTCTTCTTCTTCTTCTTCTTTTTTGGTACCGGGGATTGAACTAGGGACCTTGCACTTGTGAGGCAGGTGGCAGCACCACTGAGCTAAATTCCTGGCCCTCTCATAGTTTAAATATACAAACTTTGACTCTTTGGCTGGGTACTATGGATTGAACCCAAGGCCTTCCCACTGAACTATGTCCCTAGCCATATATATATAGGCTTTTTGAGACAGGGTCTCCAATGTAGTTTAGGCTGATCTTGAACTCACTAACTCACTGTGTAGCCCAGGCTGGCCTCAAACTCAGGGTAATCCTCCTCCCTCAGCCTCCCAAGTGTTGAAATTACAGGTTTGTGCCACCACACACACCTCCAGCCAGCCCTTTTAAGAACTTTATTTTGATGGCGGTGGGTATGGTGGCCCATGCCTGTAATTCCAGCACTCAGGAGGCTGAGGCAGGAGGATTGCCCTGAGTTTGAGGCCAGTCTGAGCTACACAGTGAGTTCAAGGCCACCCTGAACTAGTTTCAAAAACAATTTTTTTAATCTTGAGATGGGGTCTGGCCAAGTCATTAGGTCGCCCAGGCTGCACTTGGACTCTTTTCCTGACTCAGCCTCCCAGAGTGCTGAGACTTCAGGCTTGTTCTTTCATGCCTGGCTAACTTTATTAAATAATGCATTAGCATTAATGGGCCTCATATTGCTGTTACAACCCTGAATCAATGTATTCCTCAGTCATATCTGTTTGTTAGAAAGACTTTAACAGATGGTCATGCCCACACACCTGTCTCAACCCTGTCCTGGAGCCACTCCTGGGCCTCTGACTCCAGAGGACAGATGTTGAAATAAAGGGACCTCACCCCCAAGACTGGCTTCTGCTTCCCCACTCTGGCAGCCAGCATAGCATCCTGTAGGCCTTGATCTGTAGGGCCTGCTAGGGGAGAAACAAGGACAAGGAGAAGACAGGGACCTGGGGTCCTGTGCCCCAAATACATTCTGGATGTGGATTCTTCTGCCTGGTTGGGCTCCTTTCAGAGGAGGGTGCTGGTAACATGGTGTACCCCCAAGTGTTGGTCCCACAGCTCTTGCACTGTAGCTATTGCTGTTTCACAGCAAGGGAAACCAAGGCAATGGCCAGGCTGGCAGCAGGGGATGCAGCTGGTGTGTGTGCTCACTGTCTCCACAGCCACTGTCTTTCTTTGCTGCAGGGTTGGGGGAAGCCAAGGTCTGCTGTACCAAGCTCTGAGCTGGCAGAAGTTCTTGTGGCTCCACAAGCTCACACATCAGAATTGGTAGCAGATTCTGCCTTTCGGTTGTAAACAGAACTTGACTCCTTAGAGAGGAATAAGGACTGGCTAAGAAACCTGAGCCCAGAGGCTTCATGCCATCTGGATTAGGGTGCTGCATGGGGATCCAAGGGCAGGGCCAGCAGAAAATCAACATAACACCCTTGCCCCACTACTGGGGATTGAATCCAGGGCCTTTGCACTGAGCTACATCATCAGCCCTGTTTTCTTTCTTTCTTTTTTTTTTTTTTTTGCAGTACTGGGCATTGAACTCGGACCTGTGCTTTTCGAGGCAGGCACAGTGCCACTGAGCTAAATCCCTAGCCCAGCCGTTTTCTCTTGAGACAGGTTCTCACTAAATTGCCCAGGCTGGGCTCAAACTTGTGATCCTCCTGCCTCAGCCTACAGAGTGCTGGGAGAATTATTTATAGTTGTGAGCCACCACACCTGGCAAAAATCCCTTTTTTAAAATATATAACTGAAAATTACTGCAGTCATTTCTCCTAGACTAAACAGTGAAAAGCTGTTTGGAAAGTCAGCCATCAGATAAAAATCCCTTTCCCTTAAGGAAACAATCTCACTTCTCTAGGAGCAGGTTCTCATCCTGCTTGCCAGGGGTTCCTGCTTTAGGCGGGAAACACCACAAAGGAAATGTTTTCTCTTCCCCTAGGTTGTCTTCAGCCGCAGTCAGCAAGTGCAGCTCCTGGGACTGCTGTGGTTCAGGGCATGTCTCCCTAGAGAGTGGTAAAGAAATGAGGCAGAGAGCTGGGACAATCTCCACTTGGGCCAGTGTTTCTAAATTCCAGAATTCAAAAACCTATACCCCAATGTTCACTACTGACAAGGGGCTCTGTTGCCTTTGACTTCCCATCCATTCCTAAAGCCACAGACAGGAGTGCTGCTAAAAGACACAGGAAAAAAGGGCAATCTCCACTTCATAAGACTGGAGACCTTACCAGCCAGGGTGTGTCCTGTTGTAGGAGACTTTGTTGGGCTCAAGGGAAGGTGTTTCCTGGTCCCTTTCTGTTTTTGGAGGCTCCAGGCAGTTTGTGGCTGCTTCATCCAGCCTCTGCCCCTGTGTGGCCTCTGTCTCAGTGTGTTTTCTTCTCTGTCTTTCTCTTTTTTTTTGTAAAGTCACTTGCCATTGATTTAGGGCCCACCCTAACTCAGGATAACCTCAATTTTCCTGGGCTTCTCGTCATCTCTCTGACCTCCAGACACTGATGTCCAAATCCTGGATGCAAATGTCCCCCTACCAGTTCTCTGGATCTTCCTGGGTATCACATGACATGTCCAACTTAAAGTCTCTAAACTGAAATTTTTGGTTTTTCCCTAACCCTCTCCTCATTGGGTCAGTCAAACAAAGACAATCTGTTCCAAGCTGGGTATGGTGGTGCATACCTGTAGTTCCAGCTTCTCCAGAGGCTGAAGCAGGAAGGTCATAAGTTTGAGACCAGCCTGGGAAACTTAGCAAGATCCTGTTTCAAAATAATATAAAAGGGCCAGGGATGTAGCTTATACAAGGTTCTGGGTTCAATCCCCAGTACCAAAACAAACAAAAACCAAAACAAACAAAACCCAAAACTCTGTTTCTTCTGAGGCAGGAGATTAGAGTGTGTCAAAGCAGCTGAGCAAGTGGGCATGTCCTGTCAATAACAGAGATCTTGGGGATGCACTGAAAAACAGTCCCCAAAGCCTGCATCTGGGACTAATCAGAGAATGCTATCTTTAATTCTTGTGAGAAATCAAGTAGGGTTTTGATGGGACGCCATAGACCTGACATCAGCCTGAGGAGTGAAAGATACAAAAGATGGCCACCATTAAGCTGCTATGCTGTCTCTTTCGTAGTGGTCCACTCTCACTCTGTAAAATGAACTTCTCCTACTTTTAATTGGCCCACATTCACTCTGAACAGCATGTTTCTTTTCCTACCTTTAATGAATGTATAATCTTGCTACCTTTTGCACTTGTCTTGACCAATTCTTTGTTCAAGACAGAAAGAACCTAGAAAACACCTCTAGAAAGAGACCTCAAAACCTAATTATGTATTTTGGCGAGCCAGCCGGGAGCAGGCAAGGCCCTTTGAACACAGTTTTATTTTTCTCTCTCTGAAATCTGTGGCCAAGAACAGGTTTAGGTTTTCTTTCCCTCTGTCTCTCCCCTAGGAAAGCTCCAATCTCTTTCTTGTCCTTTCTCTCCAGTATGGGCTTTTGTCTGTCAGAAGTTTCAAATTCTTTTAGGTTATCAGGGAGAGGATGGGAGCTAA